AGATCAGCCATGATCTTATTGAATGGCGGAGCAGGCTCGAAGGGCCGGACGGCCTACTCCTGCTCCTAGTTCTTATGTTCTAAACAGCAAAGCGCAACAAACTTCGTTAGGATAATAAAAACAAAATATTGTTGATACTAGAAATTTGAAATGACATGAAGTGAGTGGCTAGTGTAAAGCTTCCTTAATACTGCCCTCACCAAACATTCCCAGGACAAGGGCATCATTGGGTTAGAGACAGGGTAAAGCTCCCTCTGCTCTTTTAAACTGGAAGTAAGGCTTCCTTAACACTGTCCCCATCAAACACTACCAAAATAAGTAAAAAAAGTTAGATACAGATTTGAACTTCCTCTACTCTTTTTAAATGGAAAGTAAAGCTCTTTCTACTCTTTAAATACGGAAGATTCTACTCTTTTAAACCTTTTTTATGGGAGCCACAGTGGCTCAGTTGTTGGCACCACTGCCTCACAGCACCAGGGACCTTCGGTGATTGTGTGGAGTTCACACGTTCCCTTGTATTCTCTTCCACGTAGCCTCCGTCCAAGCAAGGTCACTCACGTGGTTCAGGGAATATCACAGAATCCCTACAGTGCGGAAAGAGGCCATTTGGCTCATTGAGTACATACCGATCCTCTAAAGAGCATCACACCCAGATTTACATACCCAACCTGCGCCTGCATTTATCATGACTAATCGACCTCCCTGCACATCTCTGGGCGCTATTGAGCAATTTCGCATGCTAATCCACCTAACCTGCACATCTTTGGACTGCATCTGTTCTCCCCGTGTCTGTGTGGGCTTCCTCCGAGCGCTCCAGTTTCCTCCCACAGTCCAAAGATGTGCAAGGTGGGTTGGTTGGCCATGCTAAATTTGCCGTATTGTGTGCGGGCTAGGTTGGTTAGCATGGTAAACGTGGGGATGATGGGGAGGCGGGTGTGGAATGCTTTTCGGAGAATCGGTGCAGACTTGATGGGCCGAACGACCTCCACACTGTAGCGATTTTAAGAAAATGAAAGTAAACGACCTTCGACTCTCGTCTCATCAAACACTCCCAGGCCAGGTACAGCACAGGGTTACATAGAGAGTAAAGCTCGCTCAAATCTTTTCAACTGAACTATCTTACACTGTCCCTCCTGATGAAACATTCCCAGGTCAGGAACAGTAGTAAACATTAATAAAGCTCCCTCCATTATGACTGATTTCAGGCCACCAGTCCTGGGCTGGATGCCCCAGCCTAAACATTTTGAAAGTAGTCAGCTACCTGTGGACAGGCACAGCAGGTGAACGGAGAGGCGGCGGCCCGTCAGCCGCAATAAGGCCGGGGCGAAGAACATGCACTCATCGTCCGGGTGCGCGGTCACTAATAGGGCGGCCGCCCCGGCTTTCTCCTTTACGGATATAGGAGGATCTCGACCAACACCGCCACTCTTGCGGTAAATGTTTCGGATGCATAAGTAATAAGTGTAGATGAGAGCGGAGAGGAGGCCGAAGCCCAGGCCAAGGCCCAGGGTCTCCATGGTGATCGTGCCCCTCCCCCAGGGCCGGCAGCATCTGCCGGGTGTGCGCAGCCGCAGTCACGGATACAGACGGAATCGCGTCACGGGCGGTGGGAGTGGGGGTCCGAGACCGAGATCGGGACCGGGGACCGAGGGTATTGAGCCAGGGGGAGGGCGGCAGTGGGCCAGGAGCGGTAGGAGTAGCAGCAGGAGGAATAGGCAGCCCGGGAAGAGGCGGTGGCACTGTCGGGCTTTGAACCCGCGCTCCGCGCAAGATGGCGGTGCGGGGTTAGAGCGCGCTCGGAGCGGAGCCCGGGCACAGGCGGCACTATCCTGACTGGTGAGTGTGCGGCATTCCCTGGTGGGCGGTGAGGGGGGCATCCGGCCTCAGCAAATAGCTGTGAAATGCAGTGTCCCGGGAGGACAGAGTCACCGGCTCTGGTCCGGGACAATTGCGAATAGGCAAGGCCGCAGGCTAAGGCCCCTGAGGCTGCGGCCTGGTTCAGGAGGGCAGCGGTCAGCCAGCCCGGTGTCCGCGGTGTCCAGCAGGCGGACAATGTTACTCATTGCTCCCCTTATCCTGCATCTGGAAATAAAAAGGTTCTGTTAACGCGTGTATCTGTTTTCAAAACACCTGTGTAATGCTTTATAATTATTCGAGTTGTGGTAATAAACAACTCTCCCCTGTCTGTGACATATATAAAGGTATTTATATCTAGTATCGATACTCCTGGCTTAATCAGGCACTTTAGTACATCCCAATTACCTTCCCTTTTTACAAGAAATTTCCAAAAAGGGCAAAAAGTCATTACACAGGTCAGCACAGGAGATGAGTAAGAATTGAGATGAGAGTAAGTTTGGATTTAAACAGCTGATAATTGGAGTAGAGAAATACCGAGGCGATGTGAACCGAAGTATTCACGTTTATGACATCCGGTGAGAGAGTTGGTAGAGGAGGCAACAGTGATGAGCGGAATCCTGGTAAGAGGGAGGACTGGAATCTCAGACCAGAGACTTGGGTTTGTACTTTTTGTTGTATTTTAGTGAGCACTGATGATCCAGTCACTGCTGTTTGATTTACACACGGACAACCTACAGCAGGCATCTTTTTAAAGCACTGGAGAAGTAATCAGCAGTGTTTTGTGTGATCCTTCAAATCTGGTGGAAAGAAAAGTGGTTCAGAAGCAGCATCCTCTCCCAAGCCAATACATCCAGCATTGAAGCACTAATCACTCAAAACCAACCACACTGGTTTGGGATATAGTTGTATGTCTGGCTGCAGACTCCCAAAACAGTTACTGTATTCTGAATCTGGGATATTCTTAAAGTATGGCTGAAGTGGTCAACCATCCTGACAACTTGTGGGAAATCCTGGCTTTGCCAACCAAACATGGAGACTTCTTAACCAAGGCATTAATCACATCAAATCATTGAGAGGTGTATCAGAAGGAGCACATACGTTCAAGCAACCCAACTCCCCAGTTGTCAAGCACCATCTGTCCTGTATTTGGCAGAATCAAAAGCCATTTCAGAACCTATCGGACCAGAGTGAAAGCAAGTAATCTTTGATCCTGAGGGGTTGACTAAGAAAAGGAATCCATTTTTTTTTCTTAAGTTTTAGGAGGCGATAGAGGGCAGTTCAGTAGCTGGTTTAGGATAATTGTGAGGTTGAGACACATGAATTGTTGCAATAGAATGCATTTGTAGCATGTTTAATGTAGAAGTTATAATCAAAGTAAGTTTGCCTAGAATATGATATTTAGAAGGTTGATCAAAAGTTGGTCAAATAAATGAGTTTCAGGAGCACCTCAAGACCATCTCCTGCTCAACTACTTTAATTGCTTCAGCAATGGAGTTCAGCATGTCAGAATTAGGAACATTCACTGATCACAAATTCTCAAGAAATGAGGCAAGCTCTACCAATTTACAGCAAGATTTGGACAACACTAGGGCCCAATCCTGTGTTGTACAGTTCTATGTTCTAATACTAGATTAGGGCTGATGTATAGTACAGATATTAAACACCATATGATGAATGTCTTTTCTTTAATTGCTCACGGAGCATGGGTATTGTAGGTTACATTAGCTTTTGATACCTGTCCCTCATTTGTTCCTGGATGTTTCCTTGAACTGCTGTAGTCCTTTTGGGTACAGGTACACCTTCAGTGTTGTTAAGGGAATTTCAGGTTTTTGACCCAGCAGTGGTGAAGGAATGCAAATATAGGTCCAGGTCAGGATGGTTTGTGGCTTGGTGGAGAACTTGGTGTGGTGGCTGTGTTCCCACACACTTGCCACACATGTCCTTCTAGGTGGTAAAGATCTAGGGTTCAGAAGGTGCTGTGGAAGGAGCCTTGGTGAGTTGCTGAAGCACAGCTTGTAGATGGTAGGCACTCTGCCACTCGGTATCAGTGGTGGAGAAGTTAAATGTAAAAGGTGATAAATGCGATGCCAGTCAAGAGGGCTGCTTTGTCCTGTTTGGTGTCACGCTTCTGAAATATTGGAGCTCAATTATCCAGGCAAGTAAGTAGTATTCCATCACACTCCTGACTTGTGCCTTGTAGATGGTGGGTAGGCTTTTGGGAGTCAGGAGGGTGAGTTACTTGTTGCGGAATTCCCAGCCTCTGATCTGTTTTTGTAGCCACAGAGTAAATGTGGACAGTCTAGTTCACTTTATGGTTCATGCTAACTGCCAAGAAAGTTGATAGTGAGGCAGTCAGTCATGGCAGTCCCACAGAATGTTAAGGGAAGATGTTTAGATTCTCTTTTGCTGGAAAGATGCTATTATTATCAGTAGTCTGGTTGGAGGATGATATTACCATTAACCACAAAGTTAACTTAAACATCCAAATAAACACTGGTTACACAAACAAGTCATATACCCAATATGGGATTCATTAGTTTACCTGCTAACTCCCCAGAGTTGTTTCACCATTTATGTGGCCCAAGTCAGTCATGCGATGGAGTATTCTCTTGCCTGGATGAACGTAGCTCCAAAAATATTGAAGCTTGACACTTTTGAGGGTATTGCAGCTCACATGATTTAACGCTCCATGCACTGCCTTTAACTATTGACTCACTCCACAGCTGATGCTCCATATTTATGTCTAGGACTGCAAAGGTGTAAAGATGTTGAACAGGCTGAGTAAACGGGGAACCACATGGAAGATGTAGTATAATTTGCTTGAATATGACATTACCCACTTTGGTAGCAAAACAAGAGGGCAGATTGTTATATGAATGGCTGTCAGCTGAGAGAGGGGAATGCTCAACAAGACCCTTGGTGTCCTCTTGGACCATTCAGTGAAAGTAAGTGCGTAGGTGTAGCTGCAGTAAAGAAAGGAAATTATGACTTTCGTAGCAAGACGATTTGAGCATAGGAACAAGAATGTCCTGCTGCAATAGTACAGGGTATTGGTGAGGCCATACTACAATATTGTGTGCAGTTTTGGTCACCTTATGAAGAAAGATCTGCTTGGTATAGAGGGAGGGCAGTGAAGATTTCAAAAGTGATTCCTAAGATGGCAGGACTGATGTATGAGGGTCAGGACTGTATTCCCTGGAGTTTCCCTTAGAAACCTGTAAAATTCTAACAAAACTAGACTGGTCAAATGCAGGAAGGATGTTCATGATGGTGGGGGGAAGTTCTGAACCAGGACTCTCAGCTTATGGATAAGGGGTAAACCTTTTCGGATTGAGATGAGAAATTTCCTCATCCAGAGAGTGGTGAACCTATGGAGTTTACTGTTTCAGAAAGTGGTTGTGACTGAAACATTGTGTTTTCAAAATGGATATAGATCAAGATCTTGTGGTTTAAGGGCTATGGGTGGAGGGACAGATTAGGGTATTGAGTTTGATGATAGCCATGATCATAATGAATGGTGAAGCAGGTAGAATGGCCTATTCTTTCTATCTACTGTGTTACTGCAGAAAATCACCAAGCCTGCTTCAACAACGCCATCCAAATGTGGGATCTTGAATGCCTTGAAGAACAAAGGCAACATGCACCACAGTCTGCACACCATCCTGACTTGTGTTACAGTTTCTTCACTGCTACTGGGTCAAAAAACAAAGCAATAAACTTGTTAACCCTCTCTTCCAGAAAGAGCTGGCAAAAAAGTACAGACTCAACGTGAAGAGACGTATTGTGCTGTCCCTAGATTCAGCCGTCACATTTGTGACCTTGCTGGTTTGATCAACACATCTACAGCTGAAAACAATCCAGGTAATAACCTAGACAAATTCCCCTGGCCAGCAGCTAGTGAAACTTGGCTGTATCTCAGACACCTCAGGACTGATGTTGGCTACAGCAATCCCTTGTATAGATGTAGGAATGCAGTTCTGAATTCTGTTACTATACCTGTAAAGAGACATTCTAACTGATGAAATTTCACCTGGAATGCTCTGTAGCATCAGAGTTCTGAAGACCTTCAAATCTCAAGCAAAAGCCTGTGTGGAACAGTGGTGAATGAAGATATGGTGATAAGAAGATTTAAGTCAAAATCCTGGAAGTCACTTAACTAATGGCACTGTGGGATATCACCTTGGGAGCATTTAGGATGCGTAATAGATGTTGGCCTTGGCAGTGATGCCTATGCCTCATGAACGACTATAAAGAGTTATGAGGGGTAGGAGTTTGGCAGGAAAGTTGACTCAAGGTCACAATCAAATTAGCCATGGTTTTATTGAATCAAGGAGCTGAATGGGCCTACTCTTAATGTTTATGATCTAAAAAAAATTATGAATTAGGAACTGGTTTTTAGTGATGTTCCTTAGGGGTGAGTTTTTGGTCCATTACTGTCAATTTTCTATGAACAACCTATGAAGTGGCATTATAAGCTAACAAATATTCAGAAGTTTAGTAAGGTAGCAAATAGTGATGTGGATAGTTGTAGACTTTAATTGATACAAGTAGGATGTGAGGTAAGCAGAAGCACAACAGGGCTGAATTCCACAGAGCAAAGTGTGACTGTCTTTTAGAAAGCAGTAAATACCATGATTTTGAAAAGTATAGAGGAGCATGGAGATAACAAATTGTGGAGCTGGAGGAACACAGCAGGCCATGAAACATCAGAGGAGCAGGAAAGCTGACGTTTTGGGTTGGGACCCTTCTGAAGGAGAGCCCTGACCTGAAACGTCAACTTTCCCGTTCCTCTGATGCTGCCTGGCCTGCTGTGTTCCTCCAGCTCCACACTTCGTTATCTCTGACTGCAGCATCTGCAGTTATTGATATCTGAGGAGCATATAGACCTTGGTGTTCATGTACAAAAATCTTGTTAAAAGTGGTAAGGCAAGTTGATACAAAGTGCAGTGGTTACTTTGGTTTATAAACAAACGTAGAGAATATAAAAAAAGAACTCCAAGCTAGAACTTTATAAGTCACTGGTTTGGCTGAAGCAGGAGTATAACTGATATTTCTATGTAATTAAATTCATGTCAGAAACCTTAGGCAGAGTTTTGAGGAAGTTGTAATAAATGAGGGATTTCAGTTATGAGGAGTATTGGAACAAGATGTTCTTGTTCGAACAGTCTTCATTAGGAAGAGACCTGATAAGGGTTTTCAAGATATATTTGCATTGTTTTGGTGCAGTAGATTTAAGAAAATAAAGCTTCCTTCTGGTGAGTGAGTCCACAATCGGAGGTAATAGATTTAAAATAATTGGTAAATGATCTAGAAGGGGCATGTGGAATGTTTCCATTCAGAGTTATTGGAGTCTGGAATGTTTCAGCTGGAAAAGCTGGTAGATGTTGAGTTCATAAACGATTTTAAAAGGAGATTGGACTGGGCCTTGAGAATGAGGAATTGGATACAAAATTGGCCTGAAAGTGGGAGACCAAGGGTGATGGTGGAGGGTTGTTTTTCAGATTGGAGTGACCACTAGTGTGTTGCAAAGGTTGGTGCTGGCTCCATTTTTATTTGTCATTTGCGTAAATGATTTGGATCTGAACATTAGAGGTATGGTTAGTAAGTTTGCAGATGTCGCCAAAATTGGTGGTGTAGTGGACAGCGAAGAACGTTATCTCGGAGTGTGACGGGACCTTGATCTGATGAGCCAAGGAGTGGCAAATGGAATTTAATTAGATAAATATGAGATATTCCATTTTGGTAAGGCAAATCAGTGGAGGACTTATACAGTTAATGGTAGGGGCGTGTTGCCAAACAGAGAGACCTTGGGGTGCATGTTCATAGTTCCTTGAAGGTGGAATCATAGGTAGACAGGGTAGTGAAGGAGGAGTTTGGTACAGTTGTCTTTATTGGTCAGTGCATTGAGTACAGGAATTGAGAAGTCATGTTATGGATGTATAGGACATTGGTTAGGCCACTTTTGGAATACTGCATTCAATTCTGGTCTCCCTGCTATAGGAAAGATGTTGTTGAACTTGAAAGAGTGCTGCAAAGGTTTACAAGGATGTTGTTGGAATTGGAGGGTTTCAGCTGTAGGAAGAGGTTGAATAGGCTTAGAGCTATTTTCCCTGGAGTGTAGTAGGCTGCGGGGTGACCTTTATAGAGGTTTATAAAATCATGAGGGACATGGATATGGTGAATGGCCAAAGCCTTTTTCCTAGGGTAGGGGAGTCCAAAACTAGAGAGCATAAATTTAAGATGAGAGGGGAAAAATTTAAAAGGTACCTAAGGGCCAACCTTTTTGTGCAGAGAGTGGTGCATGCATGGAATAAGCTGCTAGAGGAAGTGGTATAGGCTGGTATAATTACAATTACAACTTTTAAAAGAAGGGTATATAAATAGGAAGGTTAAGAAGGATGTGGGCCAAATGCTGGCAAAGGGGGCCAGATTAATTTAGGATATCTGATTGGCATTAACGAGTTGAACAGAAGGGTCTTCTGTTTCCTTGTGATACAGCTCTATGTCTCTAATTCAACAGGATTATGGTCAAAATAAAGACTAAGATTTATAGCAGCAGCTGTTTTGAAAAGCCAATGCAAGAACGACCAACTGAATGTCCTCCAATTGTGCTAAGATTTTTTGAAGTAACAGTGGATGCTTTGGGCAGAATAGCCTATATCGAGGAAAGTTTAGAGGGATTAGGCAGAAGAGACTTGTGTGATGCTAGTCTTGTCATCAGAAGATAGAAACTAAATCTCAGTGTGGAACTGAGGGCATTGTTGCTAAGCTTGCAAATGACAAAGATGGGTAGAGGGACAAGTAGCGTTGAGGAAGTGGGGAGGCTATAGAAGGACTTGGACAAGCTACGGGAGTGGGCAAGGAAATGGCAGGTGGAATACGATGTGTTAAGTGTGAGGTTGTGCAGTTTTGTAGGAAGAATAGCAGTGTAGACTATCTACTGAAGGGGGAAAGGCTTTGGAAATCTGAAGCACAACAGGATTTTGGAGTCCCTAATTTAGGATTGTCTTAAGGTTAACATGCGGGTTCAGTTGACAGGAAGTCAAAATGCAATGTTAGCATTCGTTTCAAGAGGGCTAGAATACTAGAGCAGAAATAGACTGCTGAGGCTGTAAAAGACTTTGCTTAGACTGCATTTGGAACATTGTGAGCAGTTTTGGGCCCTGTATCTAAGGAAGGTTGTGCAAGCATTGGAGAGAGTCCGGAGAAAGTTTACAAGAATGATCCTGGGATGATGGGCTTATCATATGGGGAGTGGTTGATGACAATGGAGTTTAGAAGGATGAAGGGGATCTTATACACACAGACCTGGTTAGAGTGCATGTGGAGATGTTTCCACTAGTAGGAGAGACGAGGTCACAGCCTCGGAGTGAAGGGATGACCCTTGAGAATTCAGATTAGGCTACCATCTTCAATCAAAGGATGGGAAATCTGTGGAACTCATTGCTGTGGAGGTCATGTCATAGGGTATTTAAGACAGAGATAGGTTCTTGATTGCTAAGGGGATTAAAGGTTATGGGGAGAAGGCAGGAGAAAGAGGTTGAGAAATATCAGCCATGATTGAATAACGGAGCAGACTTGATGGACTGAATGATCTAATTCTGCACACATCTCATGGTCTTATAGCTATCTCTTTCATCAGTCTTAAGGTGAAGATCATCAGGTCTCGGGTATTTGGCAACTTTGGGTTCGTTAATTACTTTTGTTCTGAAACCTACTGAAAATGTTAAGCTGGAAGTTGAAGCTTTTTGTCTTCCATTCAACAGAACTAGGCACAAGAAACAGACTTGGAAGAATTGACCATTTTATCAGTGCAGATTATTTTTGCCTTCATAAAACAGAGTCCTCAAGATCCATTAATGCTGCTTCTAGCACATGCAAACAAATTATATTGCAAAAAAGAGCTATTGAAACAGCTTAACTCTAGGAACATAGAAATAACAACAGAAATTGCTGGTGAAACTCGGCTAGTCTGGCAGTATTTATGGGGTGAAAGCAGAGTTAAAGTTTCGAGTCTGATTCTGGTGATGAAAAGTCACTGGACTCAACGTTAACTCTGCTTTTTCACCCACAGATGCTGGCAGACCAGCTGAGTTACGTAAGCAATTTTTGTTTTTGTTTGAGATCTTCAGCATCTGCAGTTCTTTGTTTTATTCTAGGAACAAGAGTAGACCAGTCGGCCCCTCACGCCTGTTCTACCATTCAGTGAGATCATGGTTGATCTGTGGCCTGATTGCATCTGTGTTTGGTCCATATCCTTTAATACCTTTGCTCAAAAAAATATTATCTGTCTCAGATTTAAAATTAACAACTGATCCTAGCATCCACTGCCATTTGTGGAAGAGAGTTCCAAATGTCTACCACTCCTTATATGGAAGTGCTTCCTAACATCACTCCTGGATGGTGTGACTCTAATTCTCAGACTATGTCCCCTAGCTCTGGAATCCCCAACGAGTGGAAATAGTTTTTCTTTATCGACCCTGTCTTTCCCTGTTAATATCTTGAAGACTTTAGTTTGTCTTTTACCTCCTCAAACTTGACCCCTGAAGCCCAGGTATCGTTCTTGTAAAAGTAGTTTGTTCTCCCTCCAAGGCCAATGTATCCTTCTTGAAGTATGGTTCCCAGATCTGCTCACAGTATTCCAAGTGTGGCTAACCATTGTTTTGGACTCACGTTTTTGTTTTGCTAATCTTTTCTTTTTACATGCCTTTATAGGAGCTTTTAAGTTTCTTGCTATTTTACGTTCATATTTGAATCTGTCTTTTTTAATAAATTTTTTCGGCTTGCCTTGAATTCTTAAATTCTCCCAATTCTCAAGCTTCCAACTGTTTTGACAACTTTATAAGCCTCCTCCTTTGATC